GGGCGATTTTGGTGGTTTCTTCTAATAATGCAGTTATATGAATTCTTTGGGTCTAATCTTTTTTTTTTTTTTAAAGATTATTTGTTTGTGCATACAGAGCTGGGGTACAGGCCAGAGATGCAGAGGGTGAGAGGATTCACCAGAGACAGAGTAGGGAGCAGAACAGGCAGATTCACGAAGTACACTGCTGAGGGGAGCAGCGGGCGGGTCAGGAGAGGTCTGCCTCTCCGTGTAGGCTCCCAGGCAGGCGGGAATCGAACTCATGCAGAAGTGGCTTTAGCTTCTCAGTGCTGTGCTTTAACCCGCTGCGCCACCAGGGAGGGCCCGATAAACATTTTTTAAAGTGCCCATTAACTATCTGTATACCTATATATTTTTTGATAAGTGTCTAGCTATTCTGCTCAATTTTTATTGGGTTATTTATTTTCTTTTTTGAGGTTTTTAGTTCTGTGTAGATAGTGAATATTAGACCTTTGTCAATGTTATGGTCAAATATTTTCTCTTATTTAGTAGGATGTCTTTTGTTTTTATGATAAATAACAGATGATGTTAGTTTTGATGATAAAAAGCAGAGACTCTTTATTTTGATGTAGTCACATTTAAAAAATTTTTTTTACTTTGTTTTTCTTGATGTTGGAATTGAGTTCCAAAGACATTTGCAAAGCAAAATTTATAAAGCATTTTGTCTTATATGTATTTTATGGTTTTAGGTCTTACACGCAAATCTTTAATTTATTTTGAATTAATTCCTATGTATATATGTATTCAGGATAGTGGTCTAATTTCATACTTGTGTATGTGCTGTCTAGTTGTCCCAACACCCTTTGTTGAAAAACTTATTTTCTCCATTGTACATGCTTGGCTTCCATGTTATAGATTAAATGACCATAGAAATGTGGGTTCATTTCTGAGAGATGACAGTGAAACCAGAGTGGTGGCAGTGGAGATGGGTTGTAGTATCAATTCAAAATTTGGAAAAAGAAGTGAGAGCTAGTAGTGATTTATTGAAGGTGACAAGTGTGGAGAAGGAAGGAACCAATAATGACAACCAGTATTTACTTTTACACAACTAGATATGTGATAGTGGCTCTACTGTGGTAGGGAAGCCAGAGAGTACAAAATTTGGAATAGGTATGAGATGAGAACAAGAATTCTGCCTTAGACATGTGTATCAGATTTGAAGTATCTATGAGGTATCTAAATAAAACTGACATGTAGATAGCTGGATATATGTTTATAGTACAGAAGAGAGATCTGGGCTAGAGAAATAGGAGCGATTACAAAATGCCAGTCATGAAAATAGATTTGATCACCTAGCAAGCAAGTGTTTAAAGGGAAGAGTAAAGAAAATAGCCTTGGGTCTAGAGGAATGCTAATATTAAGAGGTTAAACAGGACAATAAAAAGCAGCAACAGGGATTGAGTTAGTTAATAGGAAACTGACAGAGAAAGAGTCATAAAAGCCAAGAGAAGCAAATGTAAAACTCTCTTATAATTCTATAAGAGAAAACTTAATGTAAAAAACCAAATAATATGAGAAAGTTGTATTAAAAGTTGTGATTTTCACAATTTTAGAATTATAAACAAATAATGATGAAACAGATAATGATGAATTTTGGTTTTTAGTTTGTAAAATACTTAATACTTCATGCATCTAGACAATGAAAGGATACTGTCATATTCTGTTGGTGCATATGCAAGATAGGCTTTTGAAAGATAATTACTGATATCTATCAAAAATTTGCTTATATTTATTCTTCATTGACTTTACCTCTAAGAATATGTCATGCAGAAATACCTCAATATGTAAGATTTTATCTTATTCACCAAACTTAACACATCACTGATTGAAAGATGCATCCCAATTTCATAGCATTCAGAGATTTTAAACTGTGAAAATGAGTGTACCAAGGATTGATGAAATACAGCAATATAGAGATGTTCATTATAGTAGTGTTTAAAAAGCTGTAATTAATTGATAACACTGAATTTTATGCTGTCTTTTAAAAACCTGTTATGAAAAGTCACTATAGTTAATATGAATTTGTAGGAGAATATATGTACTTATAACTTTATTTGTAAAATTGTGGTAGGCTGAATACCAAACGAACAGTGGCAACCTTTTGAAAATGAGATTGGCACCCAGGTGACAGATATCTTCCCCTTTTACTTTGTATGTACACTTCTTCTTTTTCTTTTTTCTTCCTTTACAAAGATCACAGTTTTGCAAAAACAAAACAAAATAAAACCCTCTGTATTTTAGCCTGAATTATCTAATTTAGATGATATTATACACTTGGAAATGAGGTGGTAAAAGGGAAATGAGGTGGTAAAATATCTTTAGTATTTGGGTATAAATTGAATAATTTCATGTTCAGTGACATGGTTTGCAAGACTTTGGGATTTGTTTCCAAACTTAGGTCTCAAGGAGTGATAATAAAATTATGATCTAGAAGTTTTAGAATTGTGGAAGTTGGAAATGGGTGATATGGAATGCTGCATGATGAGGTGGAAAAGCAAGACTATCATTTTAAGGCAGAAATATAGAATTTATAGAAAGCATAGATATTTTGTCTAAAATTCAACATATATAACTATGATACTGAAATTCAGATAGTTGAATCCTAGAGATAGGGGAAATGATACTCATTGCAAGACTTGGACTGTCAAACTTCTTATGTTCCTGGGGCCTAGAAGAGTACCCAGCAAAGACAGCTGTAGTCATACATTTGGCAGGCTACAACTGAAACTGGAGAGGGCTGGATCAACAGACTGGCACAGGCTAAGGCAGCTGCCTCAGTGTTCACATTAGCAACTGGGCTGAGAAATTAGAAGGGAATGTTTCTGACGCATGGACAGTAACAGCACTAATAATTTTAACAAGCAGCATTGCCAAAGCAAATTAAAAGTATAAATACTTATCAGTCATCTTAACATAAGCGTGTACTATTCATTATTTGGAATTACTAAAATTATAAATAAAGGATGCTCTTCCTTATATAAGTTGAGTCTTGAAAACACAATGTGGAAGTGAGGAGTAAAATACCTTACTACTTATAGGTTTAAAGACACTGTAAATTCTTAATATAAAATATAAGGATGACCATGTAAGTACAAAAAAGATAAAACTATGATAAGAAGATTTCAAAAGTATAGTAACTAACAACTGTAAAAAAGACATTGTCAGTTGAAGTGCTATGAATATGAAATGGTTATTAGATAATAGTTAAGAACTGGTATTTTTGTTAGGTGTGGTGATATTAAATTAACATTTGTGATGCATGCTCATGTTTTAGGGGTGAAATATATCTGTGCTTTAAAGTGCTTCAGCAAAAAATATAAATGAAGCTAATATGGCAAAAAATGATGACAAAGAGTAATAGATGAGTAATAGATGTCTTGTGGTAACTTACATACATTTGAAGAAGTATGTACCTATAATTCTGAATCATATACGGTGCTGTCAACCAATGTTACCTTGATAAAAAAAAATACAAAAAAAAGCAGATATGGAAGTTCAAGTCCTCCTCCATATTGTTATATACAAATTTATACATATATATAGGGATATATACACATATATGTGTATTATTTTTTGTAATAAAAAGTTTAATAAGGTACAGGCATACCAGAATTCAAAAAGGCAAAAAATACAAATGAAGTTACAGGTAGTTGCTTATTGGATAGGCACAGTTAATTAATTGATTGTCACCATGCAGTGGTAGAGGCTATTCTAGTCAACACACCTTATTGAAAAGGCAGAATTTGAATTAGGAGACTTTATTTCTGTTTAGATGCTGACTTTTAAAACTGCTTCATCTCAGTGAAGCTCGGTTCATTTATTTAGAAAATTAAAGAGAGGGGCCATCTCTGGTGGCGCAGTAGGTTAAAGCACAGCACTGCAAGCTAGCTGTAGTGCTTCAGGGAGAGTTTGATCCATGCCCTGGAGGTGACCCACATGGTGTTTTTCAGACCTCTCCTGCCTTGCCCGCTGCTCCCCTCAGCAGTGTACTTCATCAGTCTGCTTGTTCTGTACCCCACTCTGTCTGGTGAAGCCACTTACCCCCCACACCTCTGGCCTGCCCAGTTCTGTATGAATAAATAAACCTTAAAAAAAAAAAAAAGGAAATCAAAGAGTTAGATTAGTTGATTTTTTCAACCTTCAAAATTCTGAGATATTATGCAACAGAGGTCAAAATCTCAAAAGTCTACCAGTGCCAAGTAGGTAATTCAAATTCGTGAATTGGTGAAGAGTTTGCCAATCTAAAGTGGAGAGGAGCTTCTTCAAACAAAAGAATGCTTTTTGATGATGTCCTCTCAGTATTTCCTAGCCGGTTTACGGGATTAGAAAGACATTTTTATGCTAACTCCAAGATCTGTAAATGTTCAGAAATGAAAACATATTGAAAAGTAAGTGTAGGCGTGGCTCAGGGAAGCCCATCCAACCGCAGAGCAGTTCGCCGACTTCGGTCCTCCTGGACGTCTGCAATAAAGCAGATGAACACTGAGGAAGGTGAGAAGATGAAACAGATGAAGAACAGAATAGTCAGAAGTGAATTCTGTTTCAGTCCACGTCGGCCTATGAGATTTCAACTACACTACTCAACAAACACCACTTGAAAAGAAAAGCCGGCATGTTATCTTCGTGGCTTTCAACTTTTGAGGTGTCGAGGTGTCGCAGCGTAAACTAATTCTGGTGACTGAGGACCCCTCCCGACACTTCAGGCGCCAAAATTCCTAAATCCTCCGGCAGCGTCCCATGCATGCGTGTTTTAAGTGTTTGAGACCGTGCACTGAGGGGAAATTATGCAGGTGCCGCATTAACTGGGCGCGCGCCACTTCACTTTCCCCCACTCGCAGCGCTCCAAAAGAAAATGCGCGCCGGGGCGGGTCTTCTTAACCGGAAATTTGGCTTTCGGTCAGGGCACTTCCTGTTTGGTAACTAAGGGCGCGGACGGTTGCGAGGGCTCTCGTGGCTACTACCTCTCAGCCTTTCCAGCGTCTTAGGTGTGAATTGGGTGCTGTGTGTAAGAGTGGTAGAAGGTGGATCTTTCTTCTCCACGGTGCCATTATGAGTAGTGAATTCCTGGCGGAGCTGCACTGGGAGGATGGGTTCGCTATTCCGGTGGCGAACGAAGAGAACAAGAGACTGGAAGATCAGGTCAGGATCGTGTGAAGGACTACGGGGGAGGGGGAAAGCATTTTCTCCTTCACAGGAATACCTCAACTCTTCCGTTTCTCTCCTTTCCGATCCTGAATCTTTATTCGCTCCTCCTGGTAAACAGGAGAGGAAGACTAGTTCCCGCGCCTACTTTTTCCTTCTTAATTAAGCACAGCTTGCAAAGGTTCTCAGAGGTTTAATTAGCAATAGTTATTTGCTAATGTTCCTACACAAAACAAGTTCTAGTTCACGTTTCTTTGTTAGTTTCTACCTACGCTGTTTCAAATTTAAAGTAATCGAAGATATGTTTCCAGGAGGGACCTTCTAGTAAGAATGTAAAATGTGCAGTTTATAGAGCATACCACGTTGTAAGGCACTGTTAAGCACTCTAGTTTGCAATCAGTGTATCGGAGTTATTACAAATAAAGTTGCAGCTGGTTCAGTAACAGATAAAAACTTCAGCAGTGTAAAGTTCCATCACAAGACAGAGTGTTGTGAGGAACAGTCTAAGAAAATTACACCATTTTACAGAATGGAAGAGAAGCTTTTTCTCTGTACAAAGTGAAAACGAGGTTCCCTTCACTCTATTTTTTGGAAAAAAAAAAATCAAAATACTCTGACCGATTAACTCATGTCTGTTTACTAATGCTATGTTTACTCGAGATTGAGGTTTTAGTATTTTGTGTTTTTTTTTTTCAAAGAAGGGCAACATTAGGAAATGTAAGAGATTTAGCAGAGAATATAGACTGAGGAATAATATCAAGTATCCAGTCCTGGGTTCAGATCCTACTTACCACTATCAAGCAGAAGGTATAAACAATATAAGACGTTCCTTCCCCAAAGTACATACTGTGGGCTTATAATGTGTATAAGCAAACATTTTAGACATTACACTCTGTAGGTTGCAATAAGAAGACAAATAGGAGTACTATAAAAGTGGAATCTCTATATGTACTGTTTAAACATAAAAATATATATATATTTTAAAGATTTATTTATTTATTCA